GCAGCACAATTCTAACCAGATATGGTGATTGTGTATGTGTGTGTATACACATACACATTTATACACATATACATATTATAAACACTGTAATACTCACTACTGGTTAAGCATTAGAGTCATCTCAAGTCTAATGAGAATATTTATTATAAAAACAAAACGATAAATCTACAAGTTCACTTTGAAACCATTACTAAAGTCTGAGCTGTAAGCCATTTATTCATTATATTTTCTTTCATGTAATACTGTGTAATATAATATTAGTCAAGAGAGTCCTTATGTTCTTACCTCAGTTCAGGGTAGACGTTCTCCAGGTACCATTTGAACGGTTTACAGCCTAATTTCTTTTTCATCTCCAAACGACTCTGAATACTGAGAGAGAGCGAGCAAGCACATTATAAGGTTTATCACTACAGTTAGTTTTTTTATATATATACACGTCTCTCTTTTTAATTCAATTACCGTCTGAGTCAGTGGTTTTAGTTGGGGCAGAAAGTAAAGGCTCAAAGGTTATCCATTAGAGAAAATAACTGTTTTGACTCACTCTCATGAAGGATGTGCCAAGTATGTTAACACAAGGCCACATAATAAGCAGTTTTATCATTAGAGCGCTGTGTGAAACTGTGTGACCGGGAGAAGAGGTAAAAAAAAAAATGGAAAAAGGAAGCAAGAAGTACAGCTTTTACTTGCTGGTGATGCAAACATCAGGTGATCAAAAAGTCAGTCATTGGCAAAAAATAAAGAAAAATCTAATCTGTATCATTTCGAATTTAGATTAAAGAGTCTGATTTTACAGTTTAGTTTGACATCACAATTTCATCTTAATCCCTATAAATATCCTCTTAATATTTTGGGCAACAGAAATAGAAAGGGAAAATGACATTGTTCAACATTACAGGTAATTTTCTTATGTTTAATTCCATGTGATGCTAATGGCTCACAGTACTTACTTTCCATAAGGGACATTTCTCGCTGAGGGGACAGCAGCGTAGTAGAAGTTCTTATACTCGTCCATCCACACCTCTGCAGCTCTCCTTGTGTTCCTGGGAGAGGACAGAGAACAGGAAAAATAATGTGAGGTGATCTGATCTGTCCGAGTAGGGTTCTACTTTTAATACACATGGTACTGATTGTCTGCACAGCAGCTGAAGGTGTCAGCAGACTTAAAGCCGTTAAAGTACAGTATTTATCTACAGGCATAACATTAAAAACTACTGTCAGGTGAAGTCAAAGTAAAAATACTAACGTTTTACTTATATTATTTCTGCTTAAGGGAATTTAAGTCTGATGCTGTTGATATCTTTAAACACTTGCAGCTAAAATCTCCAAAACAAAAGCTACAAGATCAGAAGTTCTCTCTAAATTTGAGCTCAGCTAAGGTACAAAAAGGAATCTGCTTTTTAAGTGTCACTGTGCTTGCCGTCAGTTCCTTCTGCTAAAACACTTTGGCGCAGCATGTTTCCTTTCTTACTCAGGGGGAAAAAAAAAAAGTAAACTGCTGCAGTGAAAATCTGTGTTTATAGTGAGAGTAGCGCTAACGTAACTCCAAATATTTCCCAACAACACTCACATTCTGCAACATTTTTGTTCAAATTTAACAAATAAAGTTAACTCTAGAGAACTTAAGCATGTGCAATTATGTGCAATGTGCAACCTCCGTGCACTCTGCACAAATAGTGATGATCCACCTGCACTACAGCAGAACAAACCCTGCCTGTCTGAACTTTATTTAGCTGCTTCTCTTCACATTCAGTGCAACTTGGCCCAGTCTCAAAAAGCCCATTGTAACTTGGCTGTGCTGGCAAAGCAGATCCCTCCAGAAATATTATAAAGTCATCTAGGCAAACAAAACGGATCTCGTCTTGTAGCTCCCCCGAGGCACCAGCAGAACCACTGTCGGGAACCTGAAGCTTCTTACAGCACTGAGAGAAAGGAGCCTCTCATTCTGAACTCTGACCTGGGAATGTACCCTTCGCTATTTCCTACAAAGTTTACGTTTTTTGTTTTATTAGGCTCAAGATTTCTCAATAATTTTCTTTATAGTTTAGAAAAAAATTATATAATAAACAAAACAAAAAAAACCCCAGCTAAACAAAGGCGCTTGCTCGGTGTGACGTGAGGCTAATTTGGACATTCTGATGCATCGTTTTAGTTGAGCAGCTGTGAGAACTACAAAGTCATTTTTCTAGTTTTTTTTTATTTATTTTTAAGATCAGTCATTCAACCTTACTGTATAAATTAAATATTCAAAAAAATATTCTACACATATCACTGCAGAACAAAAAGGAAACACCAGCGTTTTCAGATCCCCTGCGATACGTTTGTTGATACACGTGTATGTTCCTAATAACGACGAAGAGCGGGCTCATTTCCAGATGTTATAGCTCATCCCTGAAGAACAGATTCATTTCTGTGTATCCATTACTCTTTAATTAACTCGAATGATTATGTTGCATGTCATGTGTGACCTTTATTAAAAAAAAAAAAAAAGCCTAAAGCATACAAAATAAGACTCTAGATTTAGTTGCCATCGTTTTATTTTTTTTATTAATTCAGCTACAATAGCTCTGTAAAACTTATTTATGCAGGTTTGGATAGCCACAGTCTTACTGATTCACTAAAAAGGACTTGAGGCAAATTAGCTAAATATTTCTGAGAGGACTTAAATATTCAATATAATAGATTAGGTGCTGCTTGACTTTTTTCCCATAAATAAGCTAAATTGAAAATAAAACGTGCTTTAACCTAAAAGCTCTTCTGAGAATTTTAATAGCATCATATGAAGTCTGCTGAAATGTTCAAATCCTGCAAGTGCACAGCGAAGCAGACAGGTGTGTGTTCAGGATTCATTTACATCCAATCAGGACCGTCTGAAGGAGCCACGTTAAATAACTACCTACAAACCAGACGTGACTCCACACAAGTACAACAACATGGATGTTTTCTCTCTTTGCTGGTTTCTAAAATACACATTATCTGTAAAAAGACTGGGTAAAATTACACACAGCTGCCAGCTAATTGAAAAGGAGGAAACAAATTAATATTTTGGAATATGTAGAGTAGTCCTTCGTTTATCAGTGGGGATTCATACCCTGAACAATGTTGCTAAACTCTAAACCAGGGTTCTGCAACCTGTGGCTCTTGGGCCACATGTGGCCAAAGTCCTTGGTCTGCGGCTCCTTGAAGCTTTGACCAAACATAATGCAAAATGTAAAGTCATTGCTTTTTATAACCACAATAAAGAGAAATGGCAAGTTTCAGCAGTTTTTTCTGCAAATGTTTAAATGAAATTAGAGAAAATAATGATGATTGGCTTAAGCTAATTCGTTTAACCAACATCCAGCCTTAAAGTGGGATCATTCTTTCAAATCCACCAGAAATTATTTGGAATAACTTTAGGACAAGTTGCCAAGAAGAAATATGGTGAATACATTATACATATAGAAATAAATATAGATAGATAGACCTAATTAAAGTTAAAGTAAATACAAAAGTTGTTTTAAAATTAAAAATTTAATGTCACATTGACATATCCAACAAAATTGCCTAATATGTAGACAAATAAAGATAATATTTAAATTTAGGCTTTTTTTACTTTAAAGTGGGATACAAATTTTTTTCCTAAAAATAAAAGGAAGAATCAAAAACCTGCAGAATTCAGGGTTAAAATTTACTTGGTAAAATTGGTATGAATTATTTTTCTCCCTTGTTTACATGAATGCAGTTTTTCCTTAGCCCTAAAATGTAAAAATATGAATAAATGTTAAAATTCATTTTATAATTTTAGTTTT